AGAGAGAGAGAGAGAGAGAGAGAGAGAGAGAGATGGAGAAAGCAACAGAGAAGGCGGACAGTGATGAAAAAAAGGCAACAACATCACGACAATCTCATTATCATGTTTCACAAGCATCTCTCTTCTCTTCAGGGATTTGATTTCCGTCTGAAGCAGGAAGTACTAACGGCCTTCGTAAACTCCCATCGCCACAACACCGAGACGTCTTAAATCATCCGATGGATTTTTAATAGCTTCTCGGACAGTTTTATTGCCCACGGAACACTTGTCTGTGACCTTTCCCTCGTACATTTATATTCCCTATCTTTCGTAAATTTCATTCTGGATTTTGATTATAAAAAGCAACAACAACAGCAAAAAAACACACCTTTCCACACCACACCGTACCACACCACACCATACCATACCATACCACACCATACCATACCATACCACACCATACCATACCACACCATACCACACCACACCACACCACACCACACCACACCATACCACACCATACCATACCACACCATACCACACCACACCACACCACACCACACCACACCACAGAATACCATACCACACCACACCACACCACACCACACCACACCACACCACACCACACCACACCACACAGCACTTAGATCATACAAGCGCCGAATATTAGAGGTGATACTAGATTTGCAAACAAAATATTGAACATGTTTGATAGAAAAGAAGGTTTAAACCACACCAGAGCACCCACCAACCACCCCTGCACAGGTTTGGATATGGGCTTCGTTTGGTTTGTTATTGTCTATCAGTCTGTGTCAGGGGGATGCCTGAATTATGTGTCAATAGGTGGTTGGCAGGTGCTCTGGTGTGGTTGGGGCCTTCCTTTCTTCACAACATCTAATATCCTTGCCTATATCCTCCTTCATTTCTGTATAGGTTACTATCTAATAACATCTCTAATCATTAACACTTAAATGACCTAATTATGTTGCTAGGGCCGTACAACTCTTACTCAAATCAAAAGCTTAACTAATTGTGTCGCGACACGGTGGAATCAGGCTCTCGTCAATTTTTGGGCATGAAGAGTTATTGGTACAATCGTAAAGCTTGTTCACTTGTCTTTATTTGGATGAAAAAAATATCCATTTATCTTGAATACAAGTCGAGATATTTGCAAAAGAAGGAGGTTGGGGTCACCTGTTTTTAGAGGTAATATTAGTGAGAAAATGGTCACCAAAGATTAGTTATTTCTTTAACTTAAGAGTCCGTGGAAACTGAAAATTTACATTTTTTGTACCTTTAATCAACGTTTTTCAGAATAATCCACACAAAAATGAGTTCTTTAATGGGTCTGAAAGGTGTTGATCCCAAAAACAAAAATCTAATAAAAATTCACAAACCTGCGGAAAAATGCAAGTTTCTTCACTTTGATTATTTTGACGAGAGCCTGATTCCACCACGCTGCCTCACAATTATGTGTTAGGTTTGACGCCAAGTGACCCTGTTGATGATTGTGCAGACATCAGCTCCCTCAGACCCAGAGTAGAGCGGCCGGACATACTCAATCACACATGTAGGCACGTACCTAAATGAACACATGTACACACACACACACACACACA